GAGTGCGCTCCTGTGAACCTGTTCACAGGCTGCTGGATGATCTTGGCCATGCCCTTGGCTCCTTTGGAAAGGAGCAGTTGTTTGATAAACAGGAAGTCGTTTCCATGGTGTGGGAAGGAGAAATGATAGCACCCAGTGGCAGGCAAAGCCCTCCTTGCCTGTGGTTAGCATGGAGTTGGCAGAAATATTTTTAGGCAACCACCTTAAGATGAGTACAGATGCCACCTCCCCCCCCCCCTTCCTCAGGAGAATGAAAAGCCCTGTCCACGCTTGGCCTCCTGCCAGTTCGTTTTCATCTAGCGTTTTCAATCAGCTATACGTTGTAGTTTAGCAGACAAACGGAGACACTGTGTTTGCAGTGGGAGTGAGGCTTATTTTAAGACCTGCTGGCTCCCCACCCCTGTCCCTCTAGCGACAGGCCTCTGACGTTCCCAGTAAAGCTGGTCTGGGGAAGCGACTGGCTTGTGTGTGTTTTTGTCTTGGAAAGGTTAGAACCTCAATGTACCACAAGCTCGTTCTTCTAAGCCAGATGGGGACAAAATTACAAACTGTACTCTGAAGCAAGCCCTACTGGCTGGTGTGCGAATCCTTTGGAAACGTCAGGATTCATTCCCTCCCCTTCACACAATGTTATCTTAACGGGGCACCTAAATCTCTCTGTGACTAACTTGATTTTAATTTGTGAGGAAGAACAGTTTTTTAAAAGATTAAAAATAAATCCAATGCTTAGAGAATATGGACATCAGAAAGCAAACAGGAGAACTTAGACTCCTTGCTTGAAACAGGAGAACGGTTTCCCCTGGGACTGAGAATCCCCCATCCCTGCACCTTGGGGATGGCTGGGGTGGCGTTGCCATAAGGGGGATACGCACCCCGAAACTTTCTTCACTTCATAGGAGCAGTAGCAGTCTAAATAGATAAGGACTTAATTGATGGTGAAAGGGAGTTTACACAGCAGGTGTCTAATTGAGGGACCCAGAGGAGTCCGGGAATTTAGGAAGCTCTGGTACTGGATGGTAGGGATGGAGGATACGTGTTTAGGAGTGCTAGCTCACTGAATGGCCGGAAAGAAATCCAACAACCCTTTGTAGAGTTCTTTGTGCACGGGGTTTATCCTCACAATCTATTTGACTTGAAATTTGGAGAGGATTCAGAAGCCATCTTGCTGGATCGCCTTCTGAAAGCACCAGTGTGCATGAAAATGCGGTGCCTCGGTGTTAAGCCCAGGGCTGGGCCCCTGCTGTAGCTGTCCTCACTGAAAGTCCCCTCCTTGTGGGGGCTGGAAGACTTTTTGTTGCCTGCCTGGAAGGCACACAGGAGCATAAAGCAGTCATTTGTTGGCTGTGGGCAGCTGAAAGGCGATTTTCAGAGGGGACTGAAAACCGCTGCAGGCTGCTGGCTTCCTGGCACACCCACCAGACCCCAGAGACCACTGCTGGAAAACAAACCAGCCCTGTGGGGAGGAGGAGCCTCACTGGGAGAGGAGGCGCTGGCTGGGATCAGAAGGCCTTTGAGCCTTTCAGATGATTCCTGAGAGGGGTGGAGCAGGACACTCCTATAGTGGGGAGGGCTTGGACATGAGACACCTGTGGCTCAGCCAGTGTCTTGTGTCTGCCGCTAACGCCTTTTAAAGAACGTTTTTTAAAAGAGTTGGATATCTCTTTTTATATACCCATAACTGGAGGGATACTGTAGGCAGTTCTGGAGAATTGGTTCAATATGATTTTGACCACTTTTTCTGCCACCAGGAATACCTTTTACCCAGCACCATGTAATGACAACACAGCCCTAGAATATAATTACCTTCCAGCACTCTAGAATCCCGGGGAGGCTTGTGATCCAAAAGAGTCTTTGAAAGTTCAAGTTCTGTCACATGTAATACAAGGTTGGTCTCAAATGTACTATCCTTTCCTTGGCCATGACCTGTGTTTACGACTCTGTAGTAAGTCAAGAGGAAGGGTTCTTGGCAGTGAACTGTCCAAGGACAACCAATGTGTCATTGTAAAGATAAAACAGAACCAGGCTGCATTCCACCAGCTCCTCTCGCCTGTGTAACCATTTTGATAGCGTTCCAATCAGTTCAGGAAAATGAGGTACTTAGAAAATAGAAAAAGCTCTTTTAATAAAAGAAAATCACTTATTTTGGAAATCACAAAATTAATCATTCTGTCACATTTTTAAAGTGCTTTGATGTGTTCTGGTAATTAGTATTTACTGCCAGACAAATGTCTCTTGGGCATTTTAATTAATGGGTGGCTTGGCCAAATGAGCTTCTGATGGTAAACCTTCATAAGGGTTTATTTTTACATTTCTCAAGAATAGCTGTCTCTTCAAAGCTCTTTAATTAGGCAAAGTTTAGTAACTAAAACATATTATTAGAATAATTAGGCCTTGGGTTAAGAGAACTGCGAGGTCACAGGAGCAGGAACTGTTAGAGAATGGCGTCTTAAAAATAAAACATAGCGTTCACATCAGATGGGCTTCCAGTTCCCGAACAGCTTACGTGAAGCCACTGTCCCTAGTTAGGGCTTTGTGTTGTTTAACATTGAGATGGCAGATCTCACCAGAAGCCCGGACACTCCAGCGTAGGAGCTCCTTTATCACTGCCTCTCAACTCCCAGAGAAGGAAGGTCCCCTCCTTGTCCTTTGTGACTTCTAAGCTGAAGACTTCTTCTTGTCTCCTTACAAATACATTTTCTGGGGGTCCGGTCTTGACTATAACAACGATGAGGTTTTGAGAGAAATACTCCAAAGGTCTTGTGTGTGATACAGGGGAACATATATCAATCTTCTTAATAGTCAGCATGCACTTTGAGTTTTTCAGACTCTGCCAGGTAGGTGGATTGCCATCCAGCTCCCCAACTCCACTTCCCTCCTCCCATAGCCTGCCCGAGGCTCTCAGTCTTGGCAGTCGTTACTGGGAAAGAGGGACTTCACCGTGGACTTCTTTTTTTGTAATGAAAAAAATATATACCTGGCGAGTTCTGGGAGTAGTGAGGTGCAGGTGTCTCTAACGTAATGAGGTTGTAGCACTGAAACTCTTGTTTTTAAACCAATAAGACATCTATAGTGTCTGACCACCCCCACCCCCCCTTTCTACCATCTCAGGATGCTTATGCTGACAGTTGTGTCCATTTCTTGGCCGATCCCTGGACCAAAGTGTGGATAAGACTTGGCCATTTCAAATGGAGTCGACTCTAGTCTAACTAACATTCTCAGCAGCTGTCGAGAGTATGCATCATGGACGCCGTATCCATCTGCGGCCACTTTTGGAGCCAAGTGCTTCAGGCTCTGATTGTTGACTGTAAGCCCATCAAATGATTTTTAACTGTAGAAGATTGCTGATTTATTACAGAGTTTACCACATGTAAATTCTTTTGATATGTGGGAATTAGCAGCAACATGATCAAGAAATAGTTTTCCTTAAGTTGGGAGCAGCTTCATTTGATGTTTTCATTGATATTATCTCTGAAACGTCCCATGTTTTAGCTGGTGTCAAGTTCTGACTCGCAGTGGAACAGCAGAATAAGGCCCTGGCCAGTGTTACCGTGTTGCATCCTCACCGTAGTGTCGATGTGTGAGCTCGTGTTGCAGCCGCTGTCTCAGTCCCGTGCATTGGAAGTCGTCCTCTTTTCCTCCGATGCGCTCTATGTGACTGAGCCTGATGCCCTTCTCCAGGGACTGGTTCCTCCTGCTAACATGCATCTCCAAAGCACATGAGCCAGAATCGCTCCATCTTCCCTTCTAAGTGTGCTCCAGTCGCACTTCCTCCAAGACAGATTGGTTCGTTCTTCTGGTCGCTCACAGTATACTCAGTGTTCTTTGGCGCCACAGTTCATAGGCGCCTTCAGTCCTCCATAGTCACCGTCTAGCTTTCGCACGAGTATGAGGCCATTGAAAACACCATCGCTTGGGTCATGTGCACCTGGGTCCTCACGGTGACACATAGGCTCGTTAGTCTTTGGTAGCAGATTTGCCCAGGGCATTCCATAGTTTGCTTTCTTGACTACTGCTACTATGGGCATTTGGGAAACCAAGCAAAATGAAAATGTTGACAACTTCAGTGTTTTCTCCGTGTGTCATGATGTTGGCTGTTGGTCCAGCTGTGAGGATGTGGGGTTTCTGACCTGTGAATTGTAATCCATACTGAAGCTGCGGGCCCTTATCTGCATTGGTAAGTGCTTCGAGACCTCTTGGTTTTCAACAAGCAAGATTGTGTAATCTGCATATCTCAGGGTGTGAATGAGCCATCCTCCGTCCTGGTGCAGTGTTCTCCTTGACATCGTCCAGATTACCTGCTCATTGTACACTGTGAATTCGTCTGGTGGAAGGATATAGCCTTGGTGTTTTCAGATTTTATGCTACACACTAGCCTCTTATTCTATTCATTCTATCTGAACAGCAGCTCTGAGTCTGTGCACACGAGCATATTTGGGGTTCTGGAGTTCCCATTTTTCTCAATGTTTTTCATAATTTGTTATGATGTATACATCCAGATGCTTTTTCAAAACAAGTGAAACAGAGGTAAACAGTTTTGTGGTATCTTCTTTTATGTAAGGTCCATATGACAGCAGCAAACAAAAATTAGTTCTCAAAAAGATTAGGTGAGAGTAATAAATACAGATCTAAAGATGCAGGCAAAATATTAATGCAGTCTATAGAGTAGTGGCTAGATAACTAAGTTTTAATCTTTAAATTGTAGAACTTTGAGAAGATGGAAGTAAGATTAACATAACACAGAGTCCTCTATTCTTTCCTGAAATGCTGCTGACTTTGACCTTGCATCCTGACTCTCACATGAGCGCAGGAAGTACCACCGATAGGTTTCCTCGTCTGTGTGTACGGTGTGGGGATATGGAAGGGACTTGGGTGCGGCCAGGGTGGGTTTGTTTTCCTTTTGTGTGTTTTCTTCCCTTGGTGGGAAGCAAGGCATCCCACCGATGTTGACCATTTGCCATTACCCTGGTTCCCAAAATGAGACTTGTTCTTCTTTGACGCAGACCACCTGGTGGCCCACGGCAGAATGGCAGAAAAGGAGGCCCGTCGGAAGTTCAAGCAGATCGTCACAGCTGTCTATTTTTGTCATTGTCGGAACATTGTTCATCGTGATCTAAAAGCAGAAAACTTGCTTCTGGACGCCAACCTGAATATCAAAATAGCAGGTGAGACGCAGCGCGCTGATCTTGTGAAGCAGGGACAAAAGGCGCTCTCCTTTCAGACGTCTTAAAGTCCAGATTGTTTGTCTCCACTGATGCAGAAAGGCTTTTGCAAAAATAAGGAACCTTTAGAATTCCTTTTTTGTGGCCCGGAAACCGGTAAACTTTCCAATAGATGCTTATGTTGTTTTTCACAGTTAGCTGGACCGTGGCTAGGGAGAAAGAAGGGGTGGGGGGGTGGTACCGAGATGTTTGTTACTGTGATACCCAGATCTGTCTCTTCTAACGAAACAGGAGTCAACTAACAGGGAAAGAACTGCTGGAAAACCCCGCCTGTGTAACCGCGTCAGCTGAGAAGGCTGGTTTACGTCACTGCTTACGCTGGAGGCGGCAGTGCCTTAGAAAGAACAGGTCTTGTGTAGGTGCACAGGCATTGCGACTCTTTTGTCTCCCCCAGATTTCACTCGTCTGCTTATCTGACAAGGCCTACAAGCTCATTTTTACTGCAGTTTTAGTGTAAATGATCCCTGTTTTGCCTCACCAGCACAAGCTGCACCTCCTGATAGAAGACAGTGACTGCACTTGGACAGAAACTGAACGAATATTAAAATTAGCCTGTTTTCCCCCCAGTGGTTTCCAGCGTTGAATTGTGTGCCCTCCCCTCTCCCCAGGAAGGGTAGGTTTCCCATATTGAGAACAAGTGTGGGGAAAAGATAATGCCCCTCGAAAGCGAAGTGAAAACAAAGTTCTAAAGATTTTCCTCTTGGATAGGATGGGAGTTGAGAGTCCTCATTTACATTATACTACTGGGTGGGAGCCCTGGTAGGCTAGTGGTTATGATTTGGGCTGCCACCCACATGGTCGGCAGATCGAAACCACCAGCAGTGCTGAGGGAGAAAGTCCGGGCTTTCTACTCCTGTAAACAGTTTCCGTCTCGGAAACCCAGAGAGGGCCGCTCTGAGCTAGCACTGACTGGATGGCAGGGAGGGAGCGAGGAGTGACAGGTTGAACTGTGTATGCTTACGGGCTAGTGGTGCACCTGTTTTGTTTTGTTTCTGTAGCGAAGCTTGTTTATTGTTTATCTTCTGGGAATGGCTCCTAGCTTTTTATTTCTCTAAGTTAGGCCAGTGGCTGACTCTTGTTTAGAACTTCCACAAGTTTGGAAGCTCTTTGGGTCCGACATTTGCTCACTGGTCCAGTAGACAAGCATTAAGTGCTCTTTGTCTTCCACAAAATCATGTTTTCCCTTTGTACTTAGGTCAGTTTAATTTTCTCCAAAGCTCACCAGATGATAGTCGTCGAGTGGCATAGGAGGAGTCTGGCGATTGCATCCCAGACCGTCTTTTGTAATTATTTGTTGTAGCTTCATTTAAATAAATGATAGTAAGCCCACTGGCACTTTGCAATCCTTAAAAGGATCAGAGTATTAATTCCCTATTTCCGCGTAACAAATTACTTCAGACTTAATGGCTTAAATCAATACAAATTTATTCTCGGATAATTCGGAAGGCCAGAAGCTTGAGGTGAATTTGCAGAGCTAAAATCAAGGTGCGTGCTGGGCTGGTGTCCTCGGCGGCTCTGGGGGCACAATGTTCCCCTTTTTTATGGTCAATTTCCAGAGTGTGGGGTCCCAAACGTATTTGGCCTACTCCCCCTCTTTACAGAAAAAAAAAATTGCATAGCAGCCCCTAGCAATTAAAAATACTCTTGCACTGTCGCCCATAACCCAGGTTAAAATGTAGCTATCTGCTGTAGGCGTTCTGGTGGCATAGTGGTTACAAGTTGGACTGCTTACCTCAAGGTCAGCAGTTTGAAACCACCAGCTGCTCTGAGGCTTTCTACTCCTGTAAAGAGTTACCGTCTCAGAAACCCACCTGAGCAGTTCTACTCTGCCCTATAAGGTCGCTGTGCTGTTGGGTCGCCAGGAATGGCAGTGAAGTTGGTGTTTGCGATATCGGCTTTGCAGCCGCTCTCCATCATTCCCATGGCCCACCCTCCAGGGGTCAGGTCCCCCCACTTAGGGAAACTCTGCTCTGGAGACTGTCAGCTTTCATTGTCTCTCACTTCCTTTGCCATATGTCTCACTCCTTGCACTCTTCTTAAAAAATCATTTTATTAGAGGCTCTTACACTCTTATCACATTCCATACATCCATTGTATCAAGCATATTTGTGCATCATCATTTCCAAAACATTTTCTACTTGAGCCCGTGTTACTCCTTACTCTTGATCCTCCTGCCTCGCTCTTGTAAGGAGACTTGAGTGATCCCATTGGGTCTGGCTGGCAACCCTATCTCAAGATCCTTATTTTAATCATATCTAACCATGTAAGGTTAGTGACAGGCTCTAAGAACTAGGATATGAATATCTTTTGAAGGCATCATTCAGCCTATCACAAATGTCATTGTAAGGTTCCTTGGATTATTGATTAGCACAAAAACAAACAAACAAAAAGCTCCCCGCCATTGAGTTGATGGTGACTCATGGACAGGGTAGAACTCGCCCTGTGGGTTTCCGAGCCTGTAACTCTTTACGGGAGTAGAAAGCCCAACGAGCTGCTGCTGGTTTTGGACGACTGACCTCACAGTTAGCAGCCCGTTGGTAACAGCTCGGCCAGCAGGGCTATTACTATCCCCTCACTGGTCCACATTTAGGAGTCCCTAAGTGGCACAAATGGTTCAGCATTTCATTGCTAACCAAAAGGCTAGTGGTTCAAATCTCCCAGAGGTTATTGGCGACAAAGGCCTGGTGATCTGCTTCCCAACGGCCACGGTCATTGAAAACCCCACGCACAGTCCTACTCCGAAACCCACGGAGCCACCACGAGTCAAAATCGAGTCAACGTCAACGTGCCTCTTGAGTTCCTGAGTTTGAATCTAGAACGGTTTTCATTCACTAAGGGAAATGTCTCTGTACTGTTACACTGGGAAGTTACTCATCGAAGCAGTGGCCATTGCTACTGGGACTTGGGAACTTACTAGCACAATATTTGGACACAGATTTTCAAATGTTTTTCCTCATTAGCTGTTAAAACAAATGCAGATCGTCGCAATGAGGTTCTGCTCAGGTATCATTGCCGATTCCCGTGGGTGCTGGCAGGGAGCCCTAGTGACACGGTGGTTAAGCAAAGGCTGGGCACGGGAACCAGAGCAGCTCGCCAGGAGAAAGACGTGGTCGTGTGCGCCAGGAGAGATTCCAGCCTAGGACACGCCACATCTTCTCTGTCACAGGGTGTCCCGATGAACCCCAGATCAGCCCCAGAACACCTAGCAGTGATTTCTGTTGCAGTGAGTCTTGGGTCCTCTGTGTGTTAACACGTATTCCTTGATTTCTTTAAGTTCATTAGCACAAATTCTGTATTGTTACTATTTGTTTGAAGAGCAAAACAGAGTTAGGCTAATTGAGCACCTCTAGTTTGCGGTCCGCCACAATAGCTAGCATGATCTTTGCTTGTGCCTTCTTTGTCTCCTACGCAGTCGTTACTCAGTTTTTTAATTATTGCCTGAACTTTCTTTCTTGCACATAAATGTGTTCGAATTCTCAGCTTCACCTGCCAAGTCGTCTTTTGAACTGAAGGGGCTTTTGAACTGAAGGGAGAAGGCTTAGTGCCATCTGACTAGAGCGTGGCTCGTTGTAGAGAAGCAGGTTGGATGGTTCTGACATGATAAGGTCGGACAGGGAATGAAGTCAACTTCATGTTCTAGAAGCTAAAAGGAACGTTCATACCTTTTCAATAGTCTCCTCTGATGGATTATGAGAAATCTCAATCAGAAGAGACCAGTATACATGAAAGAAATACGTGCATGAGACAAGGGGTTTATTTTATACAAAATGTTAGTCATCCTTTAAGCAGCTCATCTTTAAAATCATCATATATTATTAAATGGAATTAATCAAGATTAATAGTAGAAAACTAAGAAATTCATGCTTTATGGTTTTAATGAAGGAAAAAAAACCTTACACATCCTGGTGTATATGTGATAGATGAATAAATTGAATGCTTAAGCTTGATTTCTTTTTACTTTTTATATGAATTAATGTGACGCAAACTTCATTTTACTTTATTTTATTATTATTATTATTTTTTGAAAGCTAAATTTTATAATTGATACTGTAAGAACTAGCTAGTATAAAAGCCCATGGCAGCGTTCTGAGAGAAAACTACGTATGTATTCCCTGGACGTAAAGAATAAAGTTCACTTCCGTGTTTTAAACGATTCAGTGAACATCATCTCATGTTTTAAGATATTTTTCGTGCTTAAATTTTGTACTTTTAATTCCTGTTCTATTTCTGCTTTTATAGCTAGAGAGAATAAAGTCTAGGTAAAAGAACCTTATTTTATTACCGAATTTAGAAAAAGAACAACAATCTTAATGGCATTAGCAAATCTGCCTTTTCTAGAATTAAGAAATAATACATACATGTTGCTGTCATTAGTAATCCCGAATGGAGGATTCAATTTCTTCAAAACAGTCTAGAACTAAAGAATTTGTAGTGGGGATCAAGGATCTTACGTGTTATTAGAAAAAACTGTACACGGGGAAATTCCTCAACTTAAGAACATTTGTTCAAACCCTCCACATAGCATCAGTCCCTAAACTAGATGATTCCCCCTCACAGTCTGAACAAGGCAAGATGTCATTTCTCACCACTCAACTTGGCATCTCATTAGAGGTTCTACCTAATGCGATATGACAAGAAATGGCAATGAAAGAAAAGGAACGTTTACTGGGAAGGGATAAATACAACTCTTTGTTCACTTACAAATACACTCTCGCTGCCTTCAAGTCAATTTCTGCTCATAGGGACCCGCTCTCAGTGGGATTTATATATAGCCTCCACTCCCTTCCCTGTTCACAGATGGTGTTCATGCCCACGTAGAAAATCCCAAGTAATTGACCCTGACACCAGAATAAAACCCTGAAACCAGTTAGTGATTACCGCAGAGTTTGGGGTACAAGGCTAATATGCAAAAGCCAATTGCTTTCCTATAATTGAATAATTAG